ATGAATTAATGTGAATAAAAGTGTGATATTAGCGGAATATTAAGAAGTAAGGTTTAAATTATTATAGTCAACTCGGCCTTTCTATTATCGCCATTATTCTATGATAAAAATCTTATTTAAGTCATTAATTAGGTGAATATTCTTTTACTATTATGATGTTGCTTTAGATTTAATAAGCAACCATTGACGCGGTATTAAATGGCATAGGTTGATCTATAGAGGGATGATAAGGAGAATCTCCTAATGGTTCATATTCTTCTTAGATATCGTTATCTTCCTCAGTTATAGCACTACTTGATGTGCTACTTTGACTTGATGATTAACGTCCTGACATACGGGCTAAAGAAACCGAACTAGAAGACTCAGTCTCATCAAATTCAATCTTTTCATCTTTAAGTGCAAATGAAACTCTGCTATTTCTTTTTGATGAGCGCTTGGATTTCTTCATGCTATTACTTCTTTCTTGATCAATATCACTTGATGAACTTGAATGTGACTCATGAGCAAATTTGTCAATAACTCCACTTTCTCTTGAAGTATAACTTTTATTAACATCACTAATTTCATTAGTTGATTCTTCTGCAATGTCCTCAATGTCTTCTTGTCTTGGAATAACCGAAAAATTATTTCTTGTAGAATTTTGTGGAACGTTTTTTCTTCGTTGCGCAGCCTCATCATGATCAAAAATATTCCGATTATAATTATTCTTTACTACAGGTAAAGTATCTATATAATCCCCACAAACGACATATTCATCATTATCTTCATCCGATGAATCCGATGAATATCTACTTTTATGATATTTCGAACAATTGCTTTGTTGATTAAAAGGCAAATTTCGTACATGTAAAGTGTTTCGATTTTCTTCTTTATCATTAATCATATGGCTATTAAACGCTACCCATTGAAGAGATCTAACGGAAGTTCTTGAGTCATGACTAGTATTCCGATTAAAAGTAAAAGAGTTTTGATAATCTATTTCGCCACCTTTTTCAGATACAGGGTGAAGGATACTTGATCTTAAAGATGACCTTCGTTGTGTGTTACTTAATGACGATCGATTGACTGAACTTGTGATGTTACTTGCCGATAATGATGATTTATGATGTGTAAAGTTCTGAGCTCGAGAGATATTCGCTAATTCAGATGATGTTAAAGAAACTGACGAAGTACGTCTATGAGTTCGTTTCATACGCAATATTTCTGATGTTGAACCGGCATTCTTTTGAACATGTTGACTTTCTAATTTACCAAAAGACATCCTTTTTTGTGTTGTCGTTGACGTGTCAGAATCATTGGGTTGACAATTATCTAATTTATCTAACGATTCAGACTCTTTTTCATTTTTTGTTGGTGGTGAAGGCGTAATTGGAACAAGAGGTGGCGTTATTGGTTCAGGAATTGATTCCAGGTCATCTAAATTTTTTTGTTGGACTTGTTTGGTTTCAAAATCATTGATAAGATCGATATCGCTACCAAATTGATCTCTAGGTTGACAGTAAGGGTCATTATTAATTTCTATATCCTTGAAACTTTTTGAAAATCTTCGCTTGCGTATTATGAAAAAGCCTACAAATCCCAAAATCATAATCACACCACCAATAACTCCGACGATCATTCCACGATATCTGGATGGAGAAACTGTATTAGATTCCAAATTTGATGACTCTATAGGTTTTGTTTTATCGTGATAAACCGTTTCATCTACCCAAGTATTACTTTTAATGTCAAAGAAATAAAGAATCGGGTCAATTGATTGATTTTCTTTAGATGTTCCACCCCAAACCATCATTAAGTCGGTATCCTTAATCATGATGGCATTATGAGCTCCTCGACCAGAAGGTATTAAATTTTTATTTGTTGTCTTTTCATTAACATTTATTGAAGACCATGATAATGTAGGTGCTTTTGATACGTCCAATCTATAAAGGTCATTTAATCCATTACCATTTGCATCCATACCACCAAATATGTAGATGTCATTTTTATCATCTTCACGAGATACCATTGAAGATAATGTACGAGGGATTGGAGGGTCATTAATTTCTTCCGGTTTAATAAAAGTATCCTTGGAAATATCAAAAATATTACAACCATTTGTAGCCTTTGCATTCGCATCAATTCCAAAGCAAGAGATTAAATAATTATTAACCAATATTGTTGAATGACCTGCGATTGGTTGCGAAATTTGTTTTATAAAGTTCCAACTATTTGATTTAAGGTCCAAATAAAAAATATCACCTAGTACCATATCATTCTTACTTATACCACCAAGTATGTAGACCTTATCATCATCAGTTATTGTGGTGGTATGATAATACCTTTGTTGAGGGACATCACCTTCATATGTTGGAAAAGAAATATTGTCAGTATTATTTACATTAAATTCTTGAATCGGGGGAGCAAAAGTTTTCTGTGGGGTCATAGTTTGAATGCCGAACGTTATCAGAATCTTTGAGCCACGTACGGGCGCAGCCCCGTGACCCGACACGGGCAATTTTGTTTTCTGTTCGTTTACGATCAACGAGGTAGAGTTTAAAATAAGCAAAAGAGAAGGTTCAGAACCACCTGTTATTATCACAAGATCGTCAATAATAGTTGAGGTCTGACTGAATGTGACTTTAAGGACATCAGGTTCATTATTAATAATATTTTTAGCTCGTTTAACCAATTTCGTTGAACGGGAAGGTTGGGATAGGTAGTAGTGTAAGGAGTTGGGTTTTCCCAACCTTCCTTCCGCACGAGGGATATAAGGGAGAGCATGGTCAGCGGCAGGTTGGACCTCCGTACTGGTGTATTGCGCGCTGAACATTGAGGGAAGGAAAGGTATGGTTTTCACCGTTGGGGATACGATTGGAGCATAGGAAAAGCCACGAAGTTGTTCGCGGACGAATTTAAATTGACAATCAATAATAATGGTTTACTTCTTGTATTCAAATTCAGGATATGTTGTATGACTTCAAACTTGTTTAAAGATTGGTACATTTGGAATTTATTGTACATCACTACCTAATAAGTCTCTCAACACTTTGGGAATAAATTATATATTTTTAATGTAGGGAACTCATTGATGTTTTAAAAAATTTTTTTTTATAATTAGAAACTACTTTGACTTGTGAATTAAATTATTAAGATGTCCTTTTATGGGAATTCGTGATTTATAATATTATTTCACCGATTTATTTATAAACATGATGTCACAAAGTAAATTAGATATTGTGATTTTTATTTTATTTTTGTAATGAGAATCAAAAACTCAATTTGTTTTAAAGTTATAAAAATTTCTAAAGAACTTTGAAAGGAAAAAAGTACGTAACCAATTAGAATAAAGAGATGAACTTTCGAAGTTTAATTATCAGAATAACTAACCAAATTACTGATAATTAAAATTGCTAAAGGAGAATAACTTTCCCAATTAATTTAAATTAAATTAATTATAAATAATAAATTTTTTCAAATAAATATTGCAGGGAAATTAATTGAGAATGTTTTATGATTGTACAAATTCAGAGGGTTTAATTATGTGTTACGATTCTAAAAAGAATCGGTTTCATATTCTTTTTCTGACCCTTAATTGAAATCATTATCGTTATATATATAATTTTTTTGTTTGAGATGCGAGTTCACACGTAAGCACATGACCCAATCGATCACCAAATATTTTGGTGATAATCTTCCCAATCCATTCAACCCTCGAAGATTATTTTATTTTTATTTTTTATTTTTATTTTTTTTTTTTGGTTTCTGCAACCATGATTCTGTAATTAAAAAGAAAGTAAAACAAAAAAAAATTAATTAATTAAAAACAAATATATTTATCCCTTGACAATGTTAATTCAAAGGATTTCTTTAAATAATTTTAAACTGTCATTTCCCACTGGTGGCTTGCTAACAGCGCGATACAATTATAGAAATGCCTACGACTTTATTCAAATTCAACCAAACACGAGATTTCTGTCTACAACGGTATCACTTGCGTCGCAAATCGGTCGTAGACCAATACCTTATCCGCCCGAGGTTACAATTACACATGATACGACACCAATTACCCAACCACGAGTTAAAGCAGATTTATTTTCTACAACATTAACGATTTCCGGACCTTTAGGATCACATTCTATGCCTATTAAACCTTTCGTACAACTGATTTTTCATGAGAAGGAAGATTCGAAGAAATATGATAAAAGTATCGAGTCAAGCGAATTCATAGATGATAGCGAACAGGATAAGAAACTTAGCGTTGAAGTCAATAATGCAAAAATCAAACAACAAAGACAAATGTGGGGAACCACGAGAGCATTAATTACGAATTATGTCGTTGGCGTTAGCGAAGGTTATAGGGTGTTGTTAAGATTTGTTGGCGTGGGTTATAGGGCTAACATGGAAGGTGATAAACTTGCCATAAGGATTGGATACACGCATCCTGTCATATTGGATGTTCCTGATGGCATCAAATGTGCCATCCCTAGTCCAACAAAGGTTATATTGAGTGGAACTGATAAACAAAAAGTATTTCAATTTGCAGCCGAAATAAGAAGTCACAAACCACCTGAGCCATATAATCAAAAAGGTATATTTGTTGGGGATGAAACAATCAAGAAGAAAGTGAGCAAGAAGAAATAATTTTTTTTCCTTTAATAAAAATTTTCTAATTAAGAATTTTTAAAATAAAAATTTTCACACTCATACCCTGATATGATTTGATTTCAAAAAAAGTTAAAATTTTTACCGTATAGCAAAAGCTTATGAAATCGTTATATAAGGAATATAAGGAGAAAGGAATTTCAACAGATACAATATTTTATGAAAAGGTAATAACTAATTATTTGTTTGTAAGCTATGGTTAATTCGTGAATTCTCTATTTATTTCGAATATAAAATTATGTAAAAAATAATGTACTAAATATGGAAATGATCACCCAACGTTAAGGTTTATGTAACGTTACTAACCTATGTTTTAAATTTCATATTCCGCGTTCTTCAAAGAACTGTTCACAATCATGAAAGATCAAGTTCTTGAACAAGCGCCTCGAAAAATGTAAGTGTTCGTACTACATTTTATTCTTAATTTGAAATCTAATGTCTAATTTCGTTACGATCTACTGCTAGTAAGCACATTCAATTTAGCGTTCTCTCTCCTCAAGAAATCGTCAAAAATGCTCAATTGGCGATCACACATCGCGATCTTTTCAACGATAATCGCAAACCCATGGAAAATGGTGTCCTTGATACGCGGCTGGTATGTATCTGACTTTAACGCCCAGTGTTTTTTATTGTCATTTTGTTTAATTCTGTTTGATCTCTCACCTAAACTTCAAAGGTAACTGTTCATAGGGAACATCGGATCATGACACGTTGTGTCAAACTTGTGGCGAAAAAATGGCTCAATGCATCGGTCATTTTGGTTATGTCAAATTGATATTACCTGTCTTTCATATTGGATATTTTAAGGCTGTAATAAATATGCTTCAGAATATTTGCAAGGTAAATGACAATTTCTTTTGTCTTTCTTAAGTATCTCCCTTTTTACTTTTTTTGATGTAAACAATTTAAAAGTTTTTGTTTCTAACCCTACTTTGCACGATTTAGACTTGTAGTCGCGTTTTATTAGAGGAAGAAGATCGTCGCTTATATCTGAAACGATTACGAAGCTCCAAAGAAGCAGCTTCGCGTCAAAAATTAGACAAAGCTATAAACACCTTGTGTAAAAAAGTAACAGATTGTCCATTTTGTGGTGCAATAAATGGCTCTGTTAAGAAAGTTGGTGTACTCAAGATTGTGCATGAGAAATTCAAATCAAAGAAAGCACAAGGAGAACACGAAAAATTCAAGGGCACCTTCAATAATGCGATTGAATACACACCAGATTTGAAACCACATTTGCACAAAGCGCAGGAAGATTTAAATGCCCTGAAAGTTCTTGAGCTTTTTAAAAGGATATCAGACGATGTTAGTACAGTAGTTCACATTTTGTTGGATGTAATTTTACTTTGAACGTTTATATATGAATTTCATATCCATTTGCTTTGAAGGATTGTGAATTACTTGGGCTAGACCCTCAAAATGCGCGACCAGAACTATTTATTTGGCAACGTCTCCCAGTACCACCTGTGGCGATTCGTCCATCAATTGCGCAAGATAATGCAAGGTATGATATATATCTTTTTTATTATTATTATTTTTATTATTTTTTTTATAGATGATTAATATATCTCGGTAATTTATCTCTGTCATCAGCACAGAAGACGACTTGACGGTGAAATTGTCAGAAATTGTCCAAACAAACACTAACATTACAGCGGCACTGTCTAAAGGAGTTACCATTACACAACTTATGGTATTGTAAAATATTTCGCATATATATATATTTTTTTATTATGTATTAGATTTGTATCAATTTAGGTTAAACCTTTCATTAATTATTTCTATAAAATTTAGGAACAATGGGATTATTTGCAATTAACAATTGCTATGTATATACACAGTGAAATGCCAGGTTTGGGCAATATGGCGGTAATTTTTACCTTCTTACTTTTGTTAATAAAAAGTTTTTAATCATGTAAAACTTAACCATTTTTTTAAAAAAATTAAAGGGTATAAAACCTAGCAGAGGATTATGTCAGCGATTGAAAGGTAAACAGGGTAGATTTCGTGGAAATTTGTCTGGTAAACGTGTCGATTTTTCTGGACGTACAGTAATTTCACCTGATCCGAATTTACGGATTGATGAGGTACGATTTGTTTAGAAAAAAATAAATAAAGAATAAATTTTAAATTTTACTTTTTTTTTTTGCCAGGTTGCTGTCCCAGTTCTAGTAGCAAAAATTTTAACTTACCCAGAAAGAGTATTCGAATTTAATATTGATAAGTTACGTCAGTGTGTGATAAACGGATCGGATATTCATCCTGGTGCCAATTTTGTCAAACATAAGTCTGGAGGGAAAAGATTTCTTAAGTATGCTGACCAAGCATCAAAAGACGCTTGTGCTGCCGAACTACAAATCGGAGACATTGTAGAAAGACATTTGAGAGATGGTGATGTCGTCTTATTTAATCGTCAACCATCTTTACACAAACTTAGTATAATGGCTCATTATGTAAAGTATTAAAAGAATCATTTCAAAGCTCTCTAGGTTAATAATTTTTTTAATATGAAGCATTAAATTTACGTTTGTCGATAGGTACGAGTCAAACCATGGAGAACTTTTCGTTTTAATGAATGTGTATGTAATCCGTATAATGCAGATTTTGACGGTGACGAAATGAATCTTCATGTACCTCAAACTGAAGAAGCTCGAATCGAGGCAATCGAATTGATGGGTGTAAAGAACAATTTGGTTACACCTAGAAACGGAGATCCTATCATAGCTGCAATTCAAGATTTTATCACGTCGTCATATTTGCTTACAAAGAAAGACGTTTTTTATAATCGAGCACAATTTTCACAAATTTGTTCGTATATGGCTGATGCTAATATGCATATCGATATTCCTTTGCCCTGCATATGGAAACCAATGAAACTTTGGACCGGAAAGCAAATATTTAATGTATTAATGAGACCAAATAAGCAATCGTCAGTTTTAGTTAATCTCGAAGCGAAAGGACGTTCATTTGATAAGAAAGAGGGGAGAGCGCCCGATCTATGTCCAAATGACGGTTATGTTGTTATTCAAAATAGCGAGATTATGTGTGGTTGTATGGATAAATCTTTAGTAGGAGATGGTAATAAGCATTCATTATTTTATACGATACTCCGTGATTATGGGTCGATAGAAGCTTCTAATGCAATGAACCGTTTATCTAAGTTGTGTTCACGGTGGTTAGGTAAATTTAAGTTGACTCTTATATTTGAAGCATTTATGTTAAAATTTTTTTTAATTAATATCCAATTTCGTCAATAAATAAATAGCCAATCGAGGATTCTCTATTGGTATCAATGATGTGCAACCAGGTGAAAGGCTAAGAGAAGGGAAAGAAGAACTCATTGAATTAGCAAATAAGACTTGTAGCGAACTCATTGAACAGTCCAAATCAGGTCGAATGGAAAATCAACCCGGTTGTAATGAAGAACAAACGTTGGAGGTAATTCAGCAAATATCTACGAAGAAGTGAAAAATTACATTAACAATTAATTTATTTAATAGGCACATATATCTGGCGTTTTATCCAAAGTTCGTGAAGACGCAGGTCAAATTTGCATGACAGAACTAAACAAATATAATGCTCCACTTATTATGGCAACTTGTGGATCAAAAGGCATTAATAAATTCCAATCTTCCGTACTTTCTTCTGGATTAGTCCATCATAAATATTAATATTAATGATACATTTTTATTAATTTAGGTTCGAAAATCAACGTATCCCAAATGGTTGCTTGTGTCGGTCAACAAATTATCAGTGGGAGCCGAATTCCTGATGGATTTCAAGATCGTTCTTTGCCACATTTTCCAAAGCACTGTAAGCGTTACTCATTTAACCTTATAATCTGTTTTTATATGAACTCAACGTCATTCCATCCTTATAGCAAAAACACCGGTGGCTCGAGGTTTCGTTAGAAACAGTTTCTATAGTGGATTGACTCCTACAGAATTTCTTTTTCATGCGATCTCTGGTCGTGAAGGTCTTGTTGATACCGCTGTCAAAACAGCCGAAACTGGATACATGCAAAGAAAACTCATGAAGGTACATATATGTCATGTGAACATATTTACGTCGATTTAATTGCAGTATAATTCTTATTCTAATCTCCATAGGCTTTAGAAGATCTGACAATTCATTATGATATGTCAGTACGAAATTCGTCAGGTGGCTTAGTTCAATTTTATTATGGGGATGATGGCTTGGATCCTGCTTTTCTCGAAGCAGAAATTCTTCCTGTGGACCTTAAACGTAATCTACAACATACGATTGTATGCATTATTAATATTTTTATGATGTCATTATGACCCGATTGTTAGCTCTTAATTAATGATATCTTGGATATCTTCTTTTTTCTTAAAAAAAAAAATTTTTTCGAACCTACTAGAATATAATTCCGTTTGGTGATGATAAATTGCTGTTACCATACGAAATACGTGAAATTACCGATAGTATATTAGAGAGCGATAAATTTGTGAATTCATGTACTCGATCATATATTAATTCTTTGAACGAGTTTATTCAAAAAGAACTTATTAGTAAATTAAGTGATTTAAGAGAGTCCTATGGTTTAATGAGAGGAGATTATAGACTTAGTGATGAGTACGGAGATATCGATGATATGGTTTATAGTACTTTGGATTCAAGTAAATGTTTAAGGTTTTTCTATTTATTGCTCTTTCACATGTTAATTTAATTTATTTATTCAGGTCCTGCAAAAGCCGTTGTGAATCATAAATTAAAAATCACTGAAAAACAGCTAGAAAGGTTTTTAAATATTTGTTGGGCGAAATTTATGAGAGCAAAAATCGAGCCAGGTGAGCAACATTTAATATTTCCTAAAGATTTATGTGTATATTCAATTTAAATTTGTCAACTTATTATATAAATTCCTGATTTGCATAGGTACTGCTGTTGGAGCCCTTGGTGCGCAATCCATCGGGGAACCGGGAACCCAGATGACTTTGAAGACTTTCCATTTTGCTGGTGTTGCTTCAATGAATGTTACACTTGGTGTCCCGCGTATAAAGGAAATTATTAATGCGTCAAAAACAATAAGTACACCAATCATTACTTGTAAACTTGTTAATGATACTGATGTGAAGTCCGCTAGAATTGTTAAAGGTCGTTTAGAAACAACTTATCTGGGAGATGTAAATTATTCTAGAATATTTCTTGATCGATCTTTCAGGATATTTATAATTTCTAACTTCAATTTTTTTAGATTGCAAAATATATTGATGAAATTTATGAACGTGATCAATGTTTCCTCGCCATTAAGTTGGATTTGGAGGCAATACAAAAATTACAGGTTTGTTATAAATGTCATTTTTATTATTCTGCTTCTATCCACGTCATTATTTTTTATCCATTTTGTAGTTGGAGACAAATATAAAAGAAATAGCGCGCGCGATTGTCGATAGTCGTAGTTTAAAGCTTGAGGCTGTAAATATTGATTTTTCTTAGTTGTATATTTTTTTTATCCTGGACATTATTTGTTATTCATCAAAATTTTCTAATTTGTAGAATGGAATTCGTATAGTTTCAAACGATGAAATCGATGTCTATGTCCCCGACAAAGAGATGTACAAAGATCCATGTTGCTTGTATTATAGGCTTCAAATTTTAAAACGAGCCTTGCCCAAGGTTATAGTGAAGGTATAAGCCATTTTCAATATATCATATCTATTTTTTTTTACATTATAATAATTTTTTGTTGTACTTAAATTTATTAATAGGGAATACAAACTGTTACAAGAGCTGTAATTAGTGAAGGAAAGAAAGGGAAGAAACAATTGTTAGTTGAAGGATACGGGCTTCGTGAAGTAATGACTACTGAAGGTGAGATTTATTATTTATTGCTTTTCTATTAAAGATAAAAATATAAAAATATATATTATATGTGTAAACTTAACAGGCATTGTCGGCACTGAAACGACAAGTAATAATGTTAACGAAGTACATAAAGTTCTTGGTATTGAAGCCGCTAGGTATATAATCTCATTTATGTTATCTGTCATTGAATATTATTAATCTCTATCTTTGTACATATTTAGAAATACAATTATTAAAGAAATCCAATATACAATGGGTCGTCACGGAATGAGCATCGATCCGAGACACGTTATGTTACTAGGAGATATTATGACATTCAAGGTAAGAGTTCTTTAAATCACTTGTCAAAATGATTTAAGGTTGCTTTGTTATTTATTTATTTAAATATTAGGGCGAAGTACTAGGAATTCATCGGTTTGGTATTTCAAACATGAAAAGCAGTGTCCTTATGTTAGCATCATTTGAAAAAACAACGGACCACCTTTTCGACGCTGCATTACATAGCAAACGCGATTGTCTTGAAGGGGTGAGTGAATCTATAATTATGGGAATGCCCATGCAACTTGGAACTGGTCTGTTTAAATTGATAAGAACACCATTCGGGAATGAAAAACCACATAAAAGGAAATTATTATTTGATTCCCGAGAAAATCACGTAAAATTCACATACGGAGATGCATCTATGGATGGAGAGTGATTTTTTTATTTTTAAGAAAACTTAATCGTATTTATATAATAAATATTTAAGAGAGGCTACAATGATAACGCAGTAAAATATAAATAAATATATAAATATATATAGATAAAAAAAATATTTGTAGATATTTATTAAAGGTTTGAATAATGATTATAATTATTTTTTTTAAAATAAAAAAAAAGCTTATTAAAAATATTATACTTTTAATAGCTGAATTTTTGCCTTTCTAATCTTGATTTTTTCTGTCCTTTGGACCGATCTTCTCTTTTTACACCTCTTTCTTTTACAAATGGAATAAATATCATGTTTGGGGGCAGCTCATCTTTATTTTTGATAAACCATTCTGCCACGGGATGACCTTTTCTTTGATCAGGTGGTTCTTCTCGAATAAAGAAATCAACAGCATCTTTAACTGTATTGATATTATTAAGTTCTAGATTAGGAATCCTTTTCCCTATTATCATAGTACAATCTCTTAAGATCTGTTGAGAATATTATATGAACGATTTATTAATGAAATTATCTTGATCATTTTTATAATTGATCAAAAAAAAAAATAACGTACCTCGAATTTAAGTTTCGGATCTTTTAATTCCAAATGCATTAAATCTCCTTTTGCTGGTTCAACATGAGTTTGCACAATATCGCAAATACTTTCCTTGACTTTGGTAGGGTCTGTAACCTTTTTAAATCTGAAAAACAAAAAGATATATAGGATTAGTGAATTATTTAAGAAATTATTTCGACAAATAAAAGAAATCCGAAAACATACTCTCGATGTACCAAACCCGCGATGTTCCGAATTCGCGATGGGCCAAAGATTTTCATTTAACCGTTTCATTTATATTAGAAGTTTCTCGCGATATAAAAAGAATTTACATCTTTTTTTATGAAAATGATCGTAATCCCGTGATTATGAAATTCGCCAATCAGATCATCAACCTTAATCATATATAATTTTTTTTTTTTTTTTTTTGATTCACTCTCTTCGTTTACATTTCATTCTGTAGCGTTTAAACAACATGTCTGAGCAAGTATGTATACCTTTTAATTAAAATTGCCATATCATTTTGAGATGGCTTAGAGTTATGAAAATTTCTTTGATATCGCAAGAGAGATAATAATATAGATGATAATTGAATCAATTTAAAATTTTACATATCAGATTGAAAAGGCTTTCCAAAAACAACCTGGCATTTTCGTTAATGCCAAAGCCATCGGCAAAAAGGCCAAGACCAAGAATCAACGCTGGTACAAAGATGTTGGTCTTGGTTTCAAGACACCAAAAGAGGCTATCGAGGGACATTATATAGATAAAAAATGCCCTTGGGCTGGCATGGTATCTATACGTGGTCGTATCTTGACCGGCGTAGTTATGTCCACCAAAATGAAAAGGACTGTCATCGTTCGTCGTGAATATTTACATTATATCACAAAGTACAACCGTTATGAAAAACGTCACAAGAATTTGGCGGCTCATTTATCACCGGCGTTCATTGGGGTTCAGGTATTGAAAGCATCTTGAAATTTTATGAATCCGGAAAATTGCCTTTACTAACACATTTCATGCTTTTAAATTTAGCCCGGTGATACAGTGACCGTAGGACAATGCCGGTGAGTAATTTTATTATATGATTTGTCTCTTGCGTGCGTGACGTCTCACGCATCGCTGTTATAATCGATTGATGGAGTAGTTGGTAGGGTGACGGCCTACCAAGCCCCACGTATTCAACTAACACTTTTTTTTTTTGTTCTTCTTGCCTGTTTTGAAATTCCTTCCGATAAAAAAAAAAAAAACTGTAAATTAAAAATTAGACCTCTTTCTAAGACTGTTCGTTTTAACGTCCTTAAGGTTCAGAAACAGATACAAAAGGGATCTAAGCAATTTGCAAAGTACGTAATTTAAAAGACTTATTATAAAATTGAGTGTTCAATTTAATACTAATATTTTTTGTGATGCTTATATACAGGTTTTAAATGTTGAAATCAAAATAATAATAAAAAAAATTTTGCATATCGGGTAGCTTTAATATTAAGTTATTTACTTTTTTTTTAAAAAGGCAAAATTAGATATCTAGTGATTAACGCTTAATAATTTGAACTAATAAATTCAATGTTTTAAAAATCTAAAAATGTTTCTTGAACAACTATTTTTTTTTTTTTTTTATCGTGAGATTTGATTACATCATACGAGTCTGTGCGTGACTTGCAGATCACGGATCAGTGTTTCACAAAACGAAATTTAATAAAACAGCGTATGCGATTATAGTTTGCCACATAAAACATCATGGTGGATAATGATTTTATAAGGTCCGCTAAAAGAGCATTATCCGCGTTGCTTGAAAGTGCTCGTGGAGAACCGGGAAGCAAATATAAATCTGAAGAATCCGAAGAAACATCCGAACCAAGGTACTATCGATTTCTACTAGATCTTTTCTTACTTGTGATAACTTACATTCCTGTTTTTTTTTTAAAAGAGCAAAACAGCTTAAACTTTCTCAAAATGAGGATTTTTCTACTTCTCCAAGTAAACACAAGGTGTTATATAATCCAATAGATACCAATGATTTTATGCGTCGACTCGCAACTTTTATGATATCCTTTTTGCTTTCGTTTTCGTTTTCGTTTTACTTTGTAATTATATAAAACAAACGACACCTTAACGTACTTGTACGAATCAACATGGTTCGCTAAACCCGATCTTTTAAGTCCAGTAGAATGTGCACGATATGGTTGGACTAATACTGAAGAAGATATTCTCAAGTGTGAATATTGTGGAGAACAAATGCTAGTGAAGATAATTCCTAATATTGAAATAGGTATCTAATTTATTAATTGATTGATTTGGACTATTTCTTGATTAATAATGATGAAATTTGTTTTTTTTTAAAAATAGAGGAGAAAATGATAGTACATTATCATGAAGGATTATCCAACGCACATGCATCTACGTGCCCATGGCGTGAACGTCATTGTGATGGTGTGTAAGATTTTTTTTTTTAAAAAAATAACATTAAATCCTCTTTTCGATATACAACCATACCTAATGATTTCTTCTTTTCGTTCTAAGATTTTATATACAAGATTTCACTTGCCCTGGATCAATCCATTTTGAAGGGATTTCTGACACGTGCATCGCCTTTAATACAACTAGGGGATAAATTACCGGTTATAAAGGTCGAAATAGTAAGTCATCTTATTATGATATAAATTTATCATCATTTGAAGCTTATTAACAGAACCGATCTTTATCGATTAAGAATGAGGAGTTTACACAAACTATAAATGCCGTGATGCCAAGTGAAGCAAAGACCGTTGATCAAGATATTTTGATAGCTGCGGCTTGCTTGTCTTTGTTTGGATGGGAATACGAATTAATTGATGGCTTAGATATGCTGAAGTGTCCGTTTTGTTTTCGTCAGTGTCCATTATTAAATTATCGGAATATAGCTAAACATAGGGAAATTCAACAAAAACGGGACAAAGGAATTCTTCAAGATAACCAGAAAGACGAAGAGAATACACAGGATATGGAAATACTTGATCTTAAATTTGATACTGAATTAGAACATCGATGGTATTGCGCTTGGATCACTGGGGATGGAAAACCAAATGTTAATAAAACTTCCGAAGAACTGACGAAAAAAAAACCTGGTTGGCATATTACATTGGATGGAATCGTTAGAAGCAGCATTCCTTTTAACCCAAATACATCCGTTGACCTGGTACGAATGAAATGTTATTCGTTTGAAATTTGGTCCTTTTAATCGCTAATAATTAATTTCTTTTGATATAAGACCGATCTTCGATTAAGCGAATTGCGTAATAATTTATCTCCATCCAAAAAAATGATGTGATAATGTCGAAATTAAACTCTTAGATTTAGAACTATTTTTGTATGTTATGAACATTTTTTTTTTTTTTTTTTTTTTATATTCATTATATTTTTTGTTCACTATCAAATTAATGAGCTGATAGATAACTTAGAAATAAATACTTTATGAAATTTTGCATATCAGAATTCATTCATAAATATTAATTCGTACGGATAATCCTACTAAAATAAATCTAGAACTCCGGATTTTTTTTAAGTTTGATAAACATGTGTGAGTACTACGTAGTTTATGTAGTTATTGAAACGTTAACTTATTGGCTCCGATACCTAGTTCCCTCATCGATTTAACCAAATCAAGACAAAATTATCCGAATGATTAGGTTATTGTCACAATATTAAAATGAACAAACGTGAAAAAAATTTTTTTTTTTTTTTTTTTTTTTTTTGAGAAACTCTGGCCAGTTTTGACATAAATACCGGACTTTTTTATATTTCTAGCGCGTCCTTTCTTTATCAAACAATTTTTTGTTTTAATAATAACCCAATTTCCATGCTATTCATAGTAAAATGTCCTTAGCCGTTGCTATCGCATTAATTGTTCTTATAACGGAGTTTATTCTTTGGTTTGGATATTCACAAATCGCGAGTTTGGTACGTTCTGATCTCTTAAATTTATTAAACAAGTTCAAGTTTTGTTTATTTATTTAACGATTTGATGAAAACTTTTTTAGGCATACGGCATTTATTTAAATGTTTTTGAAAAGGAGAGGATACAAAAACAAAGGAAAATCAAGAGAGACATATTGAATGTTAAACATGACTTGACAAGAACAAGTTCTCAGGTATTGAGTTTATTATTATTATATACGCGGCCATATCGTTTCTTCATTGTTATGATTCTCACTCATTATCCTTCTTATTAGGATCAATTCGCCAAATGGGCAAAGCTGAGACGAAAATTGGATAGTAAAATGAGCGAATTAGATAAAATTAGTAAATAAATTTTTTTTTTCACGGTCGATTCATCTTTTCGCGTAATAATAATAATAATATATATATGTAATATGTTTTTTATATTGAAACATTAATTTCCCTTTTTTAAAAAAAAAAAAATAAAACAAAAAAAAATCATCACAGCAACATCATTAGGTTATTTAAAAACATCCTTTGAAATCAAATTTACCACATTTCTATGGGTGTTTTCCAATGGTATGCAATTTTTTATGGTACTATGGTATCGATCATCCCCGGTTTTTTACCTTCCACAGGATTGGTTTAGTCCAATATCTTGGATTTTCTCTTTACCATTTGCACCATCAGGTTGAGTTAAAAAACGCGTATTTTTTTTCTTTCTTTATTTGCTTCTCGAAAAGATTATCTCTCATATTAATATCCATTTCAATCATGTTCATCAGGTTCGGTAAGTGTGCCCTTCTGGTTTTTGATTTGTCGCAAGTTTTCTAAAAAGGTGATACAAATAAGCAAAGATGCAGGTAAACAGGGGAGAGAGATCTTTTTATCTGTCGCTTTGAATTTTTTTTTTAAAAAAAAAAGCAATTGTTTTTTAATTAAACCCTTTGAACGTTCTTTTTAGTTCCATTATATCATAGTTACGCACCTGAATCCTTGAAACAACAAGGTCCTTTGGTGATCCAATGGTGTACCATAAATATTCAGAAATTCACACCCATTGTAGTGCAATGGGTTAATACTAATGCGAAAACATTATGTAACGTTATTATTGAGAAAGCTAAACCGGTAGCAATTACAAAGGTACCTCCTTCAACAAATAAAGCATCAGTCGCTTCAACATCAAAAGAAGAGGATCTTATTAATAGTACCGAGACAAAGGAGGACGAGAAAGTCTTGGAAAGAGGTTAATTGTTTAAAGGAAGGCACCAATGTTTTAATGAATATTTAGTTTGATTTACCTAATTCATTATAATATTGATTGTGTATTAGATAGTTATATGGAAGGGTTGTGGTTGGTAGCATTTAATATGTTTGCTACTAAAGTCGTAGTTAGTAAACCGGATATATGTAGAATAATTAATTTGTTTGGACTTTAAAAAAAGCATTTCAAACATTTATTTTTTTAATTTCCCTTTTTATCCTCTTGTTTTCCTAATGTAATTCAATATCACAGATTAGCATCGAGCATTGATTTCCATGATTTCTATGATTGCATGCATTAGGAAAGTTCACACAGAGCTTATTAAGTTTGATGTATAATATTTGCAAAAGCTCCTAGTTGAACTTTTAAAAAACAGGATAGGAAACTTGTATAATAATAATTTTTTTTTTTCGTTTGCAAACCCGTGATAATTGTGTTAAGTGAATCGTTTTAATACATATTTATTGAAATTTTTTCATTGGAAAAAAAAAAAAAAATTTCCACATTTTAACTTTTTTATAATTTCACAATTTAAATAATTAAAAATTTCTCATTTAACAAGGAATGAGCGTAACTTCTCACGGATATGGCCTCTTCTCTATTTAGAACATTTTCCAAAGCATATTTCATTTTATCTATAATTTTTGGACAAAGAAAAAGGAATTCAATGGTTTTCCGTTGAAGATTTTGTGGTAAAGAAATGAAAGGTCCGAGGAGAGGTCCTAAGAAAAAATATATATATATAAATATGTTCAATATCAAATTCATACACTTTGAAATTAATATTTTAGTTCGATAAATACCTTTATTAGGCAAGTCTACATAAAGGAAAGGGATAAGAACCGTTTGAAGTTGGATCATAATCTATACATTTATGATATTATTTGTAAATTATGGTCAGTTTCTCGAGAGTTTCATGTGGTCAAACAATGATACGATCAAACAAAAAATTTCTGTTTCCTATATAGTAACAATTAAAGTGCGCTGGGACAAATACCTCATCGTTAAATATTCCTTTACCGCTTCCTTTGGCAAAATCACATAAAACGTAAAGGACTTCCTAGATCATGAAATAAAAAAGAATTACACCGGTCAATAACGCGGTCAATATCATATCATTAATTACAGAAAATATTTACTACCTGACTCGTTTCAATATTACTCGTCTTTAACTCCCATAATAATTTAGGTAAACTCAATACCCAAGTTTGCACCTCTTTGGCAAACGGCGCGTCATGATGTATATGAAAAGTAACTTGTGAATGCGAAATTTCTCGTACCTAAAGATAGGAATCAATCATAAATTAATAATAATAGTCTTAAAATTATTATTTAGAAAAAAAAAGAATACCATTAAAAATTTCGAAATAAATCCTATGATGACCCTCTTCGAAGTTGATTGAGCTCGACACCTTTTGGAATAATTTAAAATTGTCTATAATGTAAAAGAAATTTTGGTGATTAAATGTATATTATTTGAAATTCCTCATTATCGATAGTTACCCTGAAAATAGAATCTCGTTCCTCTTTTTCTAAATAATTGAGCAAATTCCGTATCGTTGGTAACAAAGCCGTCAAATGTTCAGCTTTCGAAGTTGGCTGGAATAAAAAGACGCGTTAACAATAAATTGATTTAAAGAATGACAATTAATCTCATTTGTTACCTCGGAATTTAAAAAGTGTAGAATATATTCTACAACTTGTTCTATCCAAAACGGCCGAGATTCTGAAGAATCCATGCCATCAATTCTTTTCCTTTTCTTTTGAGATGATCTCTTATTATAATTTGAACCAATCAACACTTCCTTTTCCAACGCGGTCATTTTCGCCGTCATTAGAAAGATTGACGTTAATTCACAAAACATTAAATTCATTTCTTGTAGAATAACTTCGGACTATAAATAACATTGAAAACAATATATATATAAATAATTTATTTAATATCAACGAAAATCTTTGAAAAGTATTCCAATATTTCAAAAACCTTTGCATCCCGCGTAACGATAGATTCGGAACCGAAGGGAAAGTAAATCACATAGTGTTTAATTAATTGCCTTAAATGCGACTCGATCCATTGTTTATCCGTAAATTCCTTTCGAAATAGGATCAAAAAAAAAAATTTATTAATGACAAACATTAAGAACGGTTTATTGTAAAAGATTAAAAACCTGATAAGTCAACGCGTATTTTATCGTAGCTCTCCAGAGTATTACCATCATCTTTAAGACAAGGTAAATTATTTCTAATGATGATAAATTTTGATTCAAAGCAGAAGCTGTACCAAAAACTGATGGTGCAGTATCCAACCAAGTCGCAAGGAGAATTGGATTTACGACGTTCAAAAGGTCCTAGATCATGGAAAAGATTTTGAAAATGTGAAACATTTTTTTTTTTTTTAAATAAAAAAAAAGAAACATGTAATACATAAAAAGTAAACCTTTGCGCAGGACATACGACCTTGAACAGTTGAAGAATCGTAATTATTTTCGGCATCCTTTGTCATTTCATTATGCGATAATGAATTATTATTATTACTCATGCTAGCCCATTCATTTTGATTTTTTGTAGTTGTTAAAGATGATGAATTGTTAAACAGGTTAAATTGCGCAGAATATTTTGGCCTAGAATTGGATAAATAAGGTATAAGAGAAGATCTCAGCGGATGTGGAGGTATCAATTCGACCTAAAAATTATAAACTATTTAATACATTTGATACATTCCTTCACAATCCTTATTTTATCGAACTAACCTTGCCATGAACTTGTCCCCAATCAATTGAAACTCCTTGCCTAACTGATTGAAACCAATTGCTATAAATTTCAAGATTTCACATGCAAAAAATTTATTTGATACGATTAGTTCGAATTCAATATTTGGTAAGTAAAAAATAACTATCAAGTGAAGATAAAAATTTGTTACATTGGGTCACTATCATCATCATTCAGCCCATATTTCAAAAGTTTATGAAAACTCGATAAAATATCAATTTTAATCTGATATAAATAAAATGATTTAAAGTTGAAGAAGTGACACAAAAACAATAATGATAGATTGAATTATTTACAGACTTCATGCGACAAAAATTGATTCCGCGAATTGGTTGAGGGGGTAACTATTCGAGATACTAATATAAATAAATAAATATAGGATAAAGCATTTAATATCTTAGGTATTAATAAAAAGTAAATAGTGCTTTAAGTCTAATCACCTGAGTTAGTAATGGTTGATAAATTCGAATCAGTCGTCAAAAGTCCAATATAATTAGGCACCACCTTATAAATCGAAGCCTCTATTATTAAATATATTCATAAATATATTTTATAATTCAAATTTGTGGCGATTTACCCGTTGCCAGAATCCATCTACAATGATATCGGGCGCGATATTAAGCCATATTTCCATAAATTTGATCGCACCGACACGTATATCTTCATAAATATGTGTCATTGCCGAGCATGTATATATGATTAGAAGAGGAAGGAAAGGTCTCAGTTCCGACTAAAGAAATGCCCAAGAGCATAAACGTCGACTGATGATAATAGGTAGACATTAACCGAATTTACAAGACCATTCTCACCTTTTCAATAGAAATTAAAATTTCTGTAAAAAATGACAACAAAGTCGTCCTTACCAACTTATCCTGTAACAAAATTTTCGAATGATTATTATCTGATGACGCAGTCAATCAAAAAAAAATAATAATAATCTTACATCATCAACTAATAATCGCAAAAGAGAATTCACAACCGATGATAAAGATTGTGACAAGATATGTGGATTTACATTAAAAAAGTCTTTTAACCCTAGGATAGCATCTTTATTTTTAGGTAAGGACAAAATTAAATTTAATATAGAGTGGTTCATCGAAAGAATTTAATAGAAAAAAACAACCTTTTCGCATTCCAGGGTTATAATGCTTTAACTGTGTTAAAATTTCATTTAGAGTTAAATTTCGCGAATTTGTTATTTCATTCGATTTATCTTCAGTTATGCTCTGAATTGGCAAAGATATTGCTATTTATTTATATTATTGATTTCAAAGAAAATTTAGACAATTCAAATGAAAAAAAGAGAAATTGAGGTAATTAAAGAAATTTGTCGTTATACCCCGAGATTTAAATGAAGTATCCGTAAAATTGCTAGCCTGTGGTTTCTTTTTTCCAACTTTCAACTTTGGTTTCTTCTCGAATTAAAAAGTAATTGTAAATGAATCAAAATCATTCACCATATTTCTTATATCACAAAAAGCTTACTTTAAAATCTTCTTGTTGTATTCTTTTTTTGTGTTTACTTTTCTTGGGCATTTTTTTTTTTTTTTTTTTTTGACAGAAAGAAAATTGGTATGTAAATTGAATGCCCAAGCCACGTAGAACACGTGCTTTAAAATAAATATGGCGTGTAACGTACTTCCCAAAATTGACTTTTCGGTCCTTCCTAAAAAAGTTGTTGGTGTGATACGATGGGATATAAATCTGTTCAATTTGATCACCGTAAAGTCTACCACTTTCTCTTTCTTTGATCTGAGCTATTCCTCTCAAGAGCTATTTTCTTTCCTAAAACTATATAAAAGCCTCATGAATATTGAAGAAGTAATACGATTAAAGAGATCGTTAAACAAGGCGATCGATGACGATAAAATCCCTGTAAGAGAACGTTTTTAAGCTAAACTAAACAACAGACTGTATCGATCTTTAATTAAATATTCTTATTATAAATACAGACAATCCTTGATATAATGAGACGTTTCAATGATGAAGTAGTTGCAACAAAGGAGTTGTTGAAAGTAAGCGTTTGTCTTAATGGGAGAGGGGATTGTTATTTTTAAAAAAAATAATAATAGTTGTCAAATAAATTCCTGATTCATCAAATTCTTCAAATTGATTGGGTAATAGAATACAGGTATTGGAGTTTTCATTGGAAAACAACGTTCACATCATAACGCTGATGTTGCAAAACTCGCTAAAGACATTGTCAAAAAGTGGAAAACCGTACTTAATGGAGGCTTTGTCAAACCAAACCCTGTTAATAAAATTGTTCCAAATCCGAAAAACGTGGATAAGCAACGTGATAATTCTCGAGGAGAAATAAATTCTCCAAGCTCACTTAAGACTGAAAGTTCTCAGAATTCTCAAAGTAATTCATCATCATCATCACCGAATAATGTAAAAGCAAACAACGGTAAACAATACGCAGGCGATCGTACTTTTAGGAAAGATAACATGAAAGGTCCCACGGGATATGATATACGTGATAAATGTATAGAATTACTATATGATTCCTTGGCATTTGATTCAACTGCTGGTAAGGGTTTATTTATTTTTGAAGATTATATCCTATACGAACTATATTATTAACTTTTTTAATTTTAGATTCTGATATAATTTTTAATTGTGCCTCCAGAATAGAACAAATAGTCCTCGATCAATTTAAAGGTGAACCAGAAAAACAATATCGTGATAAATTGCGTGGCTTGATCTCTAATCTCAAGGATAAAAAGAATCCAGGTCTTAGGAAGGGTATCGTATCTGGAGAAATTCCCGTGGAAGAATTTTGTGTTATGTCTAAAGAGGTAAATAACCTGTATCTTTAAAATTGTTTTAAATAATACTTATTAATTATATTAAAATAAAAGGATATGGCATCCGAGGAAAAGAAAGCGAGAGATCGTGAAATTAAAGTTGCAAACCTTTTCAAGGCGAGAAGTGCAGGACAAACACAAGCAGAAACAAATATGTTTCGTTGTGGAAAGGTCAGCATCGTTTGTTGTGTTTTGATGAATAATTCGATTTTCCATTAGTAATCAACAATTATAAAATGTGTTTAGTGTGGGGAAAGAAAAGCAACGTATTATCAAATGCAAGTAAGTTTAATTTTTTTTTGATTTAATTTATTTTAATTTTTCGGAGTAGAAATTAAAAAATTCAGTCGTGGACATTGATAACATTTCTATTCTATTAGACTCGAAGTGCTGATGAACCTATGACGACATTCGTGACTTGTACCAACTGCAACAATCGATGGAAGGTGTGTATTTTATATATTAAATCATTATCCTTGTAAAATATTTACTCTACTGTAATAATCTTAATATTTCTTCTTTTTACGACCAACCAGTTCTGTTAAGCATATTTTTATTCTAGAGTGTCATATTAAAAAATTGTATTTTAGCAAATAATTTGTCATCTTTTTTTTTATCTTGTCCATTTAAGGGTTAAGCTCAATCATTGATAGATATAATTACCTGATAAAATCACAATCTTTGACTTTCAGCAAGACGTTTGTTTTCAACTAACTTCTTTGTCTTGAATAATAAGTCATAGTATTATTCTTATATGGAGACTAATATATAATATGTATATATAAAAAAGAAGTATTTCTTGTTGAACTAAACTTTTAATGTTTTCTGCTGAATGTAACATCCAACAATCAGATTATATATAACTTAAAATTAATAACATAATAAAAACATTTTTAAATTATATAGTATTTAAAATTCTAAAAATTTGTGTATTTTGGTTGTTTCGATCCAGTTTCATCTAAATATTGATCAACCTTTGGCTGTCTACCATATTGTGGTTCACGAATACCTAATATAGAAAGGTTAAAGATATATATATATATATATAAAATCGATAAATAAATAAACATGATGGTTTTTCATCATTCTTACCTAAAATTTCAGAATAAATCGTGCTAACATCTTGATCCCAAACTTCACGGAAGAAAGAAGCACCACGTACTGTTAAATTATATTCACTCACAAACTTTCGAACATCCTTGATACGACTCATATTTTGAGATATTTCAATTTTTTGATTATTAGGTTGTTCTAAAATAGCAAAGGTATATCGATGATATTTTGTTCCTTTAGGCGGGTGAGGGGGGATAAAAGGTAAAATTGTTTCACCACCCGAAATGTCGGATTTTGTAACATTAATGGGGATGTTAGTTATTAACCAATGCCATTCCGTTTGATATGTTTCATTCGAAGTGTCGGGCATATCTGGGTCAACCATGATAAGTGTATATAAACGTGTATCTTCATGAAAATTGGTCAGAATTATTGTAGGTTCTTTTTTTGTCTTTATAAGTAAGGTAAAAAAATTTTTTAGTTTATTTTGTTTTTAAAAATAAAAACAAAAAAGAAAATGAAGAATCCTACTTGAGCGGGAAATAAAAAAACCCCAGGTTCTATTATCTGATTTTTAATTTTAATTTCAAGATCAATTGTAGGTTCCAAAGTAGGAAACACATCAGGAACAACGTACATTTGTGTTATTCGTTCCATCTATTAAGCAATCAATTTAAAGATAATGTTTGATTCTAAATCATAAAATATATATATATAAATTAATTGAATACCAATTTATAGAGAGGAGCTCTTTTCCAATGTTTTTCTCTTAAATGACGGTAAACTGGAATGCTCATGTCAACTGAAAAAAAAAAAAAAAAAATTAAATCTTGTTTTTAAAAATAATAAAAATAATAGATGATCAAAATAATTGTAATCTTACTCTTCCCATTCTTGAAATTCCAGCGAACTTCCGGATCATTTACTTCAGCTAAAACTTGCAAATTATATTTCATCTTTTTAAGTTCATTTAATTCTTGATCACGTACTTCACTCTGTTCAGCTGTAAGAAAAAGAAGGTATATTGATAAAAAAAAAAAAAAAAAAAAATTTCCTTCGCAATTCAACCTTTTCCAATAAATTCGTATCACGAACCTAACCTTTCGACACTCTTTCTATTTGTGTCTCAATATATTTTATTTTCTTATATTTGTTCGCTTTATCTTCATAAATGTATTTAAGAGCTTCATCATAAGCAGGATTAACTTCTAAAGCAGGAGGTTTATACTGTTTATCTGAAACTTTTTGATGTGAAGTCTGTATCTTTGTTGTCAACTGACGAGCACTTTTAGGGGAAACCTGTAACTTTATTCATAAAAGAATAAGATTAGATGTTTACCAATGAAAATAAAATTTGAAGAAACTTACTGATTGTTGCCTATACGTTCGTGTGAATTTATTAAGTGAAGTCGTTATAGTAGTTCGGTGCATTCGTGAAAGAAACATTTTTTTTTTCTTTTTTTTTTTTTTTTAGATTATCAGAAAAATATAATTTATCGAGTCATGTGACTAAATGTCCAAAAAGGGGCATCACCCAGAAATAATGGTAGCCGGATTTTATTTGCCGGGTATTTATTATTAGGATTAGTATTAGAGTTAGGGTTGGATTAGGATTAGGATTATTAACAGTATTAGTATTAGTATAGATAGGATCAGTTAAGGGGTTAGCAAATTTGTCACATCGCGTCACATCCCAGCCGTTCTTCAATTTACTAAGTATTCAGAGAAATTATTTTGTGAGAAAATTGCTAATTGTTACAATTATATGTCACCATATAGGTATATATGACCCGGCAAATAAATCCGGCTACCATTTTTTTCTGGGTGATGCTGTGGCTGCTTCCAAAAAGGCAAAAAGTTAAAGAGGAGGAAAATCAATTTTACTTTTATTTTTAAGGTTTAGCGTTAACTTTTTTTTCTCCCGGCAGTTTCTCCTATTACTGCAAAAGTTTCAAATATCCTTCCTTCATAATATTTATATGTTTAATTTAGAGTTATTCTATTATAAGAGTGCTAAATAATATTGATTTATTTTATGTAAACTAATTTCACTTGGTTTAGATAAGAGATTAAAATTAGTAAATTAAATTAAAAATTTGCATTTTATTATTATAGAACTGTATCAATCAATTTACTTATTATCTTAGATAACTTTTAAAATAAAACTAATAATTTAAAATTATTATTTAATTTATTAAACTTATTTATCAAAAATAATATATATTACAATCTTATTTGTAAAATAATAAATTAAAAATTCTACATATAAGATAATTAGGCTCTAGAAATTTTTTAACAAAAATTTGATTTTATTATATTTTAGTTTTAGATTAAAATGTAATGTTCAGAGCTTGATTTTGTTTCAATTCAGATTATATAGTATCTACTATTAATCTTATTAATCTATTATAATCTATCATACGCCAGACATATCGCATGTCAATCATAGCAAATGACATTTATATAGATGTTAATCATTTGATCAATAAAATTTTATATGATTTTTTGCACTTTTTTAACTTTATGTATAAGCTAACTGTATGACATTACTAATATTTTTGAATTTCTGTCTTACATAAAACATTCACTCACTTCTCAAAAACATTTTATAAGATTTAAAAATTAAACGGTTTAGTAGTTTTAAGAAGATCTTTTCAAATAAGTTATCTATTATATGCCTATTTTAATATGCGAAAGTAATATAAATACAGTCAACTCTTGTTATAACGAACTCTATGTCCTAGACCTCAACTTCGCTATAAGGCTATAGCAAAGATT